GACAGGACTTTGAAAACTGAAGAAGTTCAACTTGAGATTGTCAGTGGATCCAAAAACTGTCTTTTCTTGAAGACGGAATGTTTAAGAACAGGTGTGTTTTGTTTATTTTTAAGTTGTATAGAAAACTGAGTATAGCCTGTATTGTGTTTTGGGTTAAGCAAAGGATGTGTTGGAACAAATTATATTGGAATCAAAATAGAGTAAAAGATCTCTGCATAGATTTGGTATGTTGATGCACTTGATTTCAGGAGTGGCTTGGTATCTACCACTGGAATTAAACACAATTTTCATTTAACAATTTCATTTTCATATTTGTTTTTACTTAAAGGAAAAATAATCAGATCAGCTCCCAGTGTCTGTTTATGCAATATGAATATGTTCATCATGTGAGGAACTCAAAAGCACTTTACAAAAACTAGTTCTGAAGGTCTTTGTGAAGTAACAGTTATTTGTTCCTAATTTTAAGGAACAAATAAACTGATTTGGCTGGAGTTGCATGGTGTTAAGGCCAGTGATAGAATCTGGAAATGAGGCTTAATTCTGCCCTTTAATCACTGACTCTTGCGTCTGGTGAGTTGACTGTTTCTTGGGATGGCAGTATATATGGTGAGAGTGGATAAGACCAAGTGCAGTATTCTGTAATAGAAAAATATAGCCCCCAAATGCATGCATATCTGTTCTTTCTCTTGCAAAAAGACATTCTTTTTCTTAACCTTGTTGGTGCATTAGGTTTTCACAGAAACAAGTTCCAGAAGAACAGAAGGAATTGTACAGTCTGAAAGATGAGTAAGATAAAGCACTGGTTAAGTAATATATCAGGAATCCTGCTTCTTTCTTGTCAGGAAGCAGTCTGGAGATAAACCTCTTAGCAAAAATACTCCCTTTTTGTTACCTAGATGGGGTCACAGAACACCATAGATTCAAATCTCAAACTAAAGCATGTTAGTGGAAGTGGGCACTTTTCTATATCGCTAATATTCGGTCAGTCCTAAACGCGATGCTCTTCTAGAAGAGTAAGTTAAGAAATCATGTAAGTCAGTAACCTGTGGAGCAGACTTCGTGCAGTCTTAAAATGGGACTTTAGTCTCAGCCCTGTACAGTACTGTGCTTGTCTGTCTTAAGCTACTGCCTTTTGAGGTGAGTAAACTATTCACTGGTATTTGATGGGATTTTAATTTGTAAACATGGTCTTAATTCTGAGGTTAGATGTCCTAAGAAAATAGAAATATGGTCCAAAGAAGATACTTAGGTGACAGAAAAAATCAATAGGCTTAAGTGCCATGGTTAAGCAATAATTTTAGAGTATCTTCTTCCAAAACCTGCTTCTATTGGCTGTGTATAATACTGCTTGTATATTGACATAGCAGTTCTGCTAATGTGCTAACTGAAGCCCTAATTAAAAATAAGATTGCGTAGGTTTTCAGGTGGTTCTTGACTTGGGTCTCTGAGTAAGTGTGCTTTCTGCAGCTGTGGAGAAGAGTTAGATTTAAGTCATCAGTGTCCTTCTTGGCAAACTCCATCTATTTTTGTGCTAAGTTTGGTTTGGATCTTTTTCTGAGAAGGTAGCTAACAATCTTAAAGACCAGAACACAATTCTGTAGCAGGCCTGTTTTGTTGTTGTTGTTTCTTCCTTGTAAGCAGAGAAAGGAACAGATGACCAAACATCTTGTGGTCTTCCTCAGTTGAGCTTCTGTGTTCTTTATACTTTTTATAGTGTCTTGGAATGACAGAATTCTGTCCTTACCTGCCCCCTCCTGTTTACTGTTATGTGGAGTGTTACGGTGCTTCACTGTGGCTGAACTCTAGCCAGATGATGTCCAGGGGATTTACTTCCCAAACTAATATAAGTTGTCAACACTTGAACTTTTCCTCTTATGTTACTTTTGTGAGCAAATTTACAAATTTAGGACTTCTCTGTGGAGTCCTGATGATAGTAGAGAAATGTCTAGAAGAAAATTGCACTCTTCAATGCAGGTTCTTAGTACAGTGTTTGGTGTTCAGAGTTACGAAAGTTCAAGGTCTGTTTTCTCTCTTTCTATTCTATATCTCATATTGCTGTTCCTATTAAGAGTTCTTCACACACACACACACACCCTATTTTTTAGACCCTTTTGCAGTCACAGACCCATCCTCTAGAAAAGAAGTCTCTGTATTCAACAGTGGTGTACTGAGTTAGCTACATGTATCCTATCACATGCAGTTATGGCCAGCCTGTTCCTGCCTGTAAAGGATAAGCCAACTAGCTGCTGTTTTGTTGGTTGGTTTTCTTTTCTTGTAGTTCTACACTGGTTGTGCCAATGGGAACATGTTTTCTTGTAGGTAATTCTCATACCTTCACCAGAATACTTAGAACATTGGTAACGTTCTACCAACAGAGTTACGGTTTTTGCTTTCTAGCACCCTGTTAAGTTCACTGTTAAGCACACTCCTTACCTTACTTGGCCAAAATGTGGCATGTAGATGTCAATCCAGCTTTAAACAATTCCCTATAAAGTGTAAAAGAGTGGCAGCTGCTGTTGGAAGCATATTCTATAATCCTTTGAGATGTGTCAAGTGAACTCTTCCGATAACTGGAATAATAGAGTATATACAGTGTCTTGTTTCTGGAGAGCCTTGCACTATGTCATGCTCATGCTGAGGTGTTCTGCCAAGTGGAAAAGCAAAAGAAATGAGCAAGAAATACAAGAATAAAGGAGGTAGCTTGTCTCTGATGTTGCAGCAGTTCGGTACATTCTGTATTGTAACTGCTAATTGAGTTTGGTTTTGCTTATTTTTAATACCTGATCTTGGTGCTGAATGTTTTCTTGGCTCAGTTTAGACCTCTTGTTCCTCCCAGAGTTAAGTGGCTACTTAAATCCAGAAGAGAATTCTCTATATAGCAATTGTAATTGATGCTGTTGCAGACGAGAAATTTCAAAATATAAGTTTAAAATCAAGTAGATTTCATCTTAAGAGTCATCTTTTATACAGCTGGTGTTAATGGTACATTCTGCTGCTGCTTATAGAAGAAAGCTTTTTCTAGATTTCACAGTGTATTTGACATGCTAACCTTTCTGAAAGATGGGGATTATCAGGTATGTACCGCTATGCTAGCCACCACTGCAAGCCATAGACTATACTAAAGTTAGCTCAAAGTAGTATTTAATGATCTACTATAGTTCCGTTGCTTGCTCTGTACATACTTCTGCACCTTTGCCACTTTAGACCTTGACCAAATGTAGAAGTTAGAAATATTTTAGTTTTGTTTATGTCCAGTTTCTTTGTGTTTCCTTCAAAGATGAGAAGTCTTTCTAAAAGAGAGATTTGAGAGAACTTCAGGTAAAACTGAATTAAAACTCTGGCAACAAAGTTACGTCAGTTATCACAGCCTTATTGTGTCTTATTCTGAACCTTAAATGCTGTAATGTGTTCAATTTACAAATAAAGGCTTTGGGATTTTTAAGATGCCTTGTATTGTCTAACCTACATAATGAGTTGGGCATTGCAGGACTCTTTGGTTGGGTACAGAACTGCGTTGGAAATGGGTACAGTAAACTATTCAACAACAAACCTTATAATCTTTGAGTGTAGTGATTTGAGCTTTTCCTGTTTAGCCCTTTCCACAACAGTAATTTTTAGAGCCACCTTCACTAAAGTGGGCTTTGAAAACCCATATTGCGTCTCTGGCTTCTGCTTCTGTAAGTGCCTTCTTTTGGTCACATACCTGTAGAGATCAAATTTATATGCAGTAGTAAGCTGCAAAACAAGCTTGTTTATATAACATGGAAATACTTTAACATAAAGAACCATGTTCTTCAGATTGGTTTACTCTGTTTCTGAAGACTGAATAACCTTGACAACGAGTAAACTTCAAAATGTGTCCTTGATTGAGCTCAGTCGTAGCAATTCTGGTGGACCTGTAAAGGTTTCATTAGCTTCCTTTCTGAATGGTTTATATTAAAAGGCTAAAAGTTTATTTTAAGGTTTAACATGATTTGATTTCCTGCTTCCAGATGCTTTACTGGCAATTTAAATAACCTAAAGCTGAATGTTTATTTTACCTTGCCTTCTCATAGCCCCACTCTCTGGTAATGTTTCTGGTCTCGCTTAATTCTGGCTTTGCTATGATGAGGTCTCCACGCAGCCTTCTCTTCTCCTTGCTGAACAGCCCCAACTTTCTCAGCCTGTCTTCATACGGGAGGTGCTCCAGTCCCCTGATCATCCCTGTGGACCTCTTCTGGACTTGTTCCAACAGTTCCGTGTCTTTTTTATGTGGAGGACACCAGAACTGCACACAATACTCCAGGTGAGGTCTCACAAGAGCAGAGTAGAGGGGCAGGATCACCTCCTTCGACCTGCTGGTCATGCTCCTTTTGATGCAGTCCAGGGTACAGTTGGCTTTCTGGGCTGTGAACGCACACTGCCGGCTCATGTTCAGTTTCTTATCGACCAACACCTCCAGGGCTGCTCTGAGTCTCTTCTCTGCCCAACCTGTAGCTGTGACAATGACCTTTTGTTCTTTAGATTATGACCTTCTGTAGAGAAAACTTTAGTAGTTTTATCCCATTGCCTTCAGTCTTTAGATGTATATTTTCATTCTAAAGAGCAGTCTGAAACTAGCGAGGCTGACATTACACCGCAGAAATCTATAATGCTTTTCTGATCCTTTCTTTCCAGCGGTTGTGTTCATGTGTGTCCTCTTTCAAGTCACAGTGGGCTTATGCCAAATTTGCAAGGACTTGCAGCAGAAGGGAGCCCCCTCTGAGTGACAAGAAATCTGTAGTTCATATAATGTGGTTTTCTCATCCCTTCTTTCACATTCCTTAAAAATCCCAAATAAAAGGTTTAAACATGCTCCCATATAAATAATTCAATAGGAGCCTCAGTGTTCTTATTTATCAACTGTAGATTCCTCCACAGCTTAAGCTACTGGATTCAAATATTGAATTCTTTGATCTTGGTGACAAAATTACTCTTGAGTAAGTGAAGAACTATATTGCAAAAAATTGAGAAAGCAAACCTTGGTTTCATTCACTGGTGTGAAATAACATAATATTTATTTAAAAGTATTTTGCAGCAGGCTAATAATGCCACAGTTACACACGTTGCAATGAAACAGCAGTAGCTAATGCAAAATCACAGAGGGCTGCTAAGTAAAGGCTTAATATAAAATGTTAGTGTGTTTGTATTTTAGTTGTAAAGCTAGTTACAAGGATCTGCATAAGCGATGTGAAGACAGCACTTAGAATTTGCATATATTGCTGTTCTGCATTTATTTCTAGACATGCCTAATAGGACACAATAGTATCATATATAACTTTACATTTCAAGATTGCAATAATATTGCACAGGTTGCAGTAATATTGCCCATTTTCAAACTCATTTTTAGGCAAAATATTTGTGTGTTTTGTTTTCATTTCTGGCTCTGCAGCATGTTTCTTTAGCTTGAGAAAACCCCATTCAAAGTCTCCTTTAATACCATAAATTTTACAGGCTATATTCAAAATATGAAACATTCTAAAAAGTGCAATTAAAATCAGGCCTTTCATTTATTAAAAATCCATAAAGATTAAAACCCAGAAGGCTAGATTCTCAACAGAGTGTGGATCCTAGCTGTATTTATTATTCCATTTGACATACAGCGATTTATCAAATTGAGGATCTGGCCTTGCCAGTATAATATTAAGATAAATCTTGGTGTTAGGAATTGAATTATTTGTTCGAAGACAGCAGCTCCCTTAAGAGGGCATCAATAATGCTGAAGTTTACCTACTCATTTTTAATAAGTTCACAGAACAGAATGAAAAGCCATTCTGTAAAAGCAGAGTGAATAATTAAAGCTTCTAAGTTGAGGTATATTTATACAATTTAATTTTGCCTGTAAGTCTGTATTTGAAGGAGTTGTATGAAATGCAATCAATGTAAGCAAATCAATTAAGTAGACTTACATTACTACTGCTTTGCTTTACTAGAGTTCAATACCACATTGCCTTCAAGCAGGAAAGAGCAGCCATATGAAATGTATTTTAATTGCTTGCTTCTATTAAAAGAAAAGAAAAAAAGAGAAAATCTTTGAAGAATTAAGACCTGAAATGGAAGCCTTTTTAGTAAGTTTCAAAACATAGAATAGTTCAGGTTGGAAAGGGCCTAGTTCCAACCCCCCTGTCATTGGCAGGGACACCTCACACTAAACCATGTCAACCAAGGCTCTGTCCAGCCTGGCCTTGAACACTGCTGGGGATGCAGCATTCACAACTTCCTTGGACAACCTGTTCCAGTGCCTCACCACCCTTACAGTAAAGAACTTCTTCCTTGTATCTAACCTGATCTTCCCCTGTTTAAGTTTTAACCCATTCCCCCGTGTCCTATTGCGATTCTCCCTGATAAAGAGTCCCCAGTTTCTTCAGTGGTTTCTTCTGTACCTATGATTATGAAAGCTATTACTCCTACTCTTAAAAAATATGACAAATCTTCCAATGAGATTAAACTGTCTGTCATGGTGAATCAGTCTTAAATTAGTATTGCATGCTCAGTTCAGGTGGGCAAATACTAAAAGGGAAAATTTGTGTGAGGATAAAAAAAAAAAACAGCCTTGGTTGTGGTTGGCTTATTTTGAACAATAAAATTTGGAAGAAATATTCTTTATAACAGTTCCTTTATGGGCATAGCCTTTCTTTAGTTCTGAATTCAGTGATGCTTCCATAAGTAAGTGATATTTGTTAGGATTCCCTGTTCTTTCTGCTGTATATGTACTTCACTCCCACCCATATAAAACATTTTCAAGTAAGAATTAAAATAGGCTGGAGATATTTGAGGCTTTATTACCTTTAAGATTTCACCTTTATATCTTACCTTGGTTTGAAGCAAGGGTAAGATATCAACAATCTAACTTGATAATAAAACATAAAGATGCTAGAGCATACTGTCTAATGTACTTAGGCATTATAAAGGAATATCATTATAAAGGGATGCTTCTCCAGGAAGGCTTTGTAAGTATTGTATCATTACAAATGGGGTGCGTTCATATGCAGCAGCAGCTGCTGCTTACCAAAGGACTTCTTTGCAGGATCAGAGCTTCATTTGTCCCCTAAGCAAGCACATCCATTTGTTAAGTTTTACTTTGCTGCAAAGGATTCTAATAGGAGAACATGCAAAATATTTGTTGGAATTCAAAATTTAACACCTCCCATGAAAAAAAGTGAAGAATATACACACTGTCTGAAGGCAAAAAAGCTCTACAAAAATAAGTTTTGACTGATTCACCAGTAAGCCTAACACTAAGAAACCTTCAACCTTGTCCCTATGTGTAAGAGAGTACTTTGGAATTTCACTTCTTTGGAGAAGAACTAATATTTTGTACAACAAATAATGATGGGAATATACAAAGTAAGGAATAATTACATACAGCATTGATAAATACTACATTGGCTTAACTAAATACAACAGCAGATACTACCTTTCTTTAGCATTATGTCTTTAATAATGGCTTGTTCTGCCTTGATCTTTACTTACATAATTGCACAGTTCCCTTTCTTTGGATTATTTCTTTAGGCCACACACCACTCCCATTCTTCATTTGTTGAAAAGATCTCGTTCCAGGCTGCGAGGGACTTGACTTAATCTGGGTCCTCATTGTTGTGAAGGTATTTCAGACTGCCAGAAACACAGCCTCATCTGAATCCTTGCCACTGTCTTCACTAGCCAAGCAGCCACCCCCACTTGGAGACCTACAGCTTAAGTCCTCCACACCAGACTCCTGATCGCTGTTAGCTGAGAGATCGGGATCAGAGCTTTTCAGGTTGTCCTGTGTCAAAATCAGGGCTGAATCTTCTTCATCCCCTTGTGAAGGGCTCCGGGATGGGAATGATTTCAGATCGTTGCTATACTCCTGAGGAGTGTTAGCTAAGCTGGAAGTAGAAAGCCCTAAATGTTTGCTTTGGTCTTGTTGCTTACTCTTGACTTTATTATCATTTAATTGTGATTTCTGAAGGTTCGCCAATCTCTGAAATAAAGATAAAAATAGGTATTAAATTGATATAGTTAGGGTCTGCTAATCCTCTTACCTGTTTCTGCCTTGTTTTTGTTTTTAAATAAAATAAGTTCAGAGCCTAACCTGGTTTGCACCCTTAAATCTGCCTATTTGCATTTATGGAGTAAGAGAAGCGCACAGTGTATCACAAACCAATGCTGAATTACAACAGCCTGAGTTACAATTCCTTCTGAGTTACAGAAGGATATAAAATTCCTTTCAGGAGTAGTATTTGTGCACTAACACAGGTTAATTTTTATCCTTAAAGAAAGTCCACTGTTGTGTCTTAAATGTAAACCAGTAATTTCTGCAAGAACAAAGATGACAGCTGAGGATCCTCATGATGGAAAAGGATGTAGCATGTAGGGGACTCTGCAGTGAATGGAACTGGATTTCATTTACTATCAGTTAAGTCTGAGGCATCGAGAGCAAGTGTTTATTACCTCTACTAAGACCTCCAGCTCTTCTTCCAGCTGCTGAGTTTCCTCCTTCACTGCCATCAGATAATCAGTAACTGACTGTCGAGGATGCAGCCCCTTTTCAAAGCGGTTGTACATACCACTCCAGAACCTGGAATTGACAGAAAGCAATTAACCTTGGCAGTTTTCTCATTTGGTGAGGTGGCATGGGAAGACTGAAATACACAGGGGGTTTTATTTGTTTTTCCAGACGCACGTTGTCCTAAATGATCCATCCATGGATTAGTCATCGTTAGAGTGCATACACTAAGTTCATTGAATATTTGGCAAGATATATGGTTCATTTGCATTGGCTCTGTCCTGAAGATGCAACTCTGGACATAAACAGCTTGAACCACTTATGATGCACAACAGAAAGAAAGGTGAGCGTACTTTGGACTTGGATCCCGTGGTTGTGGGTTCACTTGTGTTCGGTGAACACAAGTTTTGGCTGTATTATTTTCTTGTTCTACACTCTGGGCTTTAGAGGAATGGTACCTATAAAATAGCTGAGGTTGAACGCAGCTTTTCATAATCCTAGTTCTCAACTGCTGTTTAACTTCCCATGAAGTCAACTTTGAAATGTTACGTGCTTGTTTTTGTCTGGGGCAGGAGAGGGGATGGTTAGGGTGGTAGTGGTGAGGTGCAGCAATTAACAGGCTTTTTTTTTCCTCCACTGTATAGAAGAGTGTCCTATTCTCTTAAAATTTAAACTGACATTTTAAACTGGCCGAAGGAAATGGCATGACGCACATATGTTGGCAAGTTTTCTTGTTCTGTGGAATTGTTTGACAAACCTTTATTTAAACAGCTGAGTTGATGTTTTGTTTTCAGGAGGAAAGGACTTGAACTGTAAGTCTATAGCTTACTCTAGCACTCCTCCCATCTTCTATCTTCCTGGCAATACATGGCCATGGTCACACTCTGAGCACATAAGGAGTTCACCAGACATGTTAAGTAACCAGGAGACCTGCTGTCAGCTGCAGCTGTCCAGCCAAGTTGCTGACAGAGATTTTCAGAGTACGTGCATGCTCCTTCATGGGGCACGCACATACCTTATTATTCCTACCCCAGTAGTATACTATTTAAGTCATGTTCCCCTTTAAGTTTATCATCTGATAGCTCATGCTTGGAAATCTTTATGCACCCAAGTAGTTCCATTAAAATCAACAAGATTACTCATCCGATGGAGGATATGCAGTATCAGTAGTTCTTTTATAAATCCCACTATCCTAAAGAATACGATTAGTGACTATTTTAAAGTTGTTTTAAAGTGGATGTGACCTGGAACAGCAGACATGAAAGAATTCTATTTCTGCCATTTAGAATATTTATTGACTTTTAACAGGTACTTTTTACTTGCAACTAGAAAACAAATTAGACAGTTTTACCTAAATCACAGTTCTCATTAATTTCTATTCAAGTTCTCATAATCTTTGTTAAGATGCATGTCACAATTATTACTATTGACATTCTGACTTGAGTAATTATTTATAAAATTATATTACATTTTGAAAAAAAAACAAACTGTATTCTTTGAGGTATAGCAACGACACTGGGGAATTCTGCTGTTTGTTTTACTAAACACTTGTTTTAGCAATGAAACCCTATCATTTCTTGAAATGTCTCTTTATTTTTGACACCAGATGGTCCAAATAAATACCACAAAATCGTGGAATGGAAGAAGTTGAAATTTGGAAACTGCAGACGAGAACAGAACTGAAAGAGACATTTCTCAGTGGGAGAAGTAAGTAACCATGAAATGAGGACACACAACTATCAATATAGCTTTAATCTTAAGCTTCTTTTCAGACTAATACTCCGTTGTGAAATGCTGCAGAGGTGTTGGCTGATTATGAGCATACAAGGAACAAACACATAGCATCTGAGACTGAATTTACTCTCTAAAAGTCACCTTATGGAATAAGAAATATTACATACAAAGGCACTCTGTTCTGTACAAACACATCCTACAATTCTTAGTAGCAGGTGATTCTACCTACTTGTACAAGAAGTTGCATGGAGCCATCTGAGGGCACAGGGTCCCTTGGGTTTTACTGTGGTTAGGTCGATACAAAGGATTCAGGTAATCTGCACGATTTTTCCACAAGTGAGCCCACAGTGAATATGTTCGTTCTTGGATTCTAAAAATATATATATATATAAATAATTATAATATATTAAAGTCAGATATAACTAAAACTTAGTTGTGACATCCTAGTGCTCTGTACTTATTTATAATCTGCTTTATACTTCCTGAACAGAATTAGTCTGAAGTTACAAATACAGAAAAACAAGAGACCCATATTCCTTTGTTGGGCACTAAAGGCAAAATCCAATCCATTTTTTATAAAGCTGGAGCAGCTTTTATAGTGGTGGGTTTTTTTTTGAGAGATAAGGTGGAGAGACATGTTCCTTTGCGAGTTGATCGTTTCCCTAAAATTAGCTTTCAGACTGATCTCTACACCAAAGGGATCCCCACATTTAAAAGCACTCCTACACCACTAAACTATTCATTTCTCATTAGGTTAGGTTACTTAGGTCTTGGGATAGGATGACTTCTGAAGGTTTTGACTTTAAATGGACTATGGCGCTGAGGAAGCTCTGCATTTGAGTACTGAAAGGGGCCAAATAGCAGCAGCAAGCAGCAGCTCTGTCCTGCCTCTCATGACTACTGCTGATAGGATCAGGATGCATGAGTAAATGGTGGGTTTCATGATGTACCTGAGGAACCAGGGCCCCAGAAGCAGATATGAACACTAGCACTGCCAGGAATGATATTACTGTCTCTGTTTGTGCCTGGGGGCAAGGAGGTTAATTCATAATTGCTTTTGGGCCAGACATCAGGTTAGTTTGCTGGCTCAGTCTGAGAGAGAACTACCAGACAAAAAATCTGTTCATAAGAAAGTATCGAAGAAATTGGGAATAAAATGTCTTGTCATGAGATCCAAAGACAGGTTAAAACACAGAAGAGCAGTGACTCTTAAACTGAGAACTTAACTAGAGTTAATACCATCTTGTATTAGAGCTACAGTGACAGCTTGCCTTGTTTGTTGTCAATGCTGCAATAACGGTAGGGCCACATGGCTGAAGGGCTAATGCTCCTGTCAGTTTTCCCTAATCCCTGTCACGCACACATGGATTAAACTCCCAACAGAGCCAGATTGCAGGGGATCAACTTCTTTTCCTGTATTAATCGGTGTTGCTAGAAGACAACAGCCAAGAATTCTACGCTGCACTGTGCCCCTTAAGAAAGCACATGCAAGTAGACTGGCAAATTTCTGACTCCTCAATACACCACCACCCACAGGCTCCACACATAAATATGCTACTAAAGAAAAGACTTCCATACTTCAGCTCTCGTCTCTCCTTCTGGCTGTTACACAGGAAATTCCCAAACTGGCAAGAATAGATATGATGCTGTATGTGGATGAGGAATCTCTCATTGAATTCAAAGGCACAAGGAAACTGTTCCATTAACTGCCAAACACATTCAAGGAACTGATCAATAACAGGGGATATCTCCTTTGGATCTCCATCTAAGTTGCCATACCTGAAACAAGACAAGATAGGTTCAATTATAACCTGAAATCCTCTAGGAAAACTGAATTTAATGAAAACAAACCCCTCATTTTTACTGTGCAAGGTTCATTTATAAAATCTCAACTGCCACTGTATCGTTTTACTTACAAAAATGATGCAATATTTGTGGAGTAGAATAAAAGCAGAATTTATCAAATACAAACAAAAATAATACTTTTATGGGTGTCTTGTTTCCTGACAGCTACATGTTTTAATGCTCTTAATATAAAGTTATACCACAGTAAAATAAGTCATAAGAATAACTGCAATGACTTACTGACAAAAACATCATAGACAATCACTTAAGTCTACTTAATAGGAAGAAGCATTTTCAATCAGTTATTCTGCTTATCTATTGTGTGTGTATATATATATCAACCAATGGAAATTCCATAAACACCTAAAATCAAAACTTCTAATTCTACTATTTTAATGCATCAAAGAAAATATAGCAACAGTGTACTGCAAACCAAAGCTAGCAGTGGTGATGACATTTCATAATATCTGTCACCATCAATAGACATCTGACATATCATATGAAATGTAGGAATTCCTGCTAGAATTTCACAAGTGGTGTGGAGCTACACAGATTTCCTTGGGTTTTTTTTTTTTGAAACTACAAGAAAATCATATTCAAATCAAGCAATATAATGTAATTAAACTCCAATATAAAACTTGCTTTTTTATCTTTACAGAAACTAAAAGGAAATACAAGAAAGAAAGAAAATGTGGGTATTTATCCACGCCTAAATGTATAAATCCTTCAAACATTTTTATTACATATAAAGCAGTTGCATAATGGATGTGCAAAATAACTTAATAGATGACTTTCCACTTTGCTTTACTTGACGCTTCTGAACAAATCCTGCTGTTTTGTTAGAGTGTAATAGGAGGAATGTGTTTTATGTCATAGATGATAACTTGCAGACATGCCTAAGATGAAGTATTGTCCTGGAAGACGTAGACTTTATTGATCAGGGACTTGCATGAGGAGTCTTGGCACTACTGAAAGATACAGTTGAATCCAAAGGGATTTTGCAAGCCACATACGCAGTACTTTCCTTTCACATGGCTCTCTCAATGCTTATAGCAACTACAAGACCAGCACTGAGGATTCCCAATAACAGCCTTGGAGTGCATATATAGTAAAAGACAGATTAAAATGAAAATATTTGACTGATTTTTCCATGCAGCAAATTTACATCATAGGAGAAAGGGTATGGTGGCTTCCTGAGGGCATTCTCTTTGTATACTTTGTAAGGCAAGAAGGAAGTAAAATCGGAATGGAAACAGATACTGACTGCATAAAAATATACATAGAAAAACCTTAGCACTGCCTTACCTGTGGTTGAATTTGTGACCAAAGGAAACCCAGTCTTTTTCAATTAACACCTAAAATGAGAATATTGCATTCAGTGTTGTGGAGCAGAGCTGACACATGTTGAAACTGGTGGTGCAAACAAGCAGTATTGGAATCCCAGTTAGTTCTTAGATTAAGCAGAACAATGCCAAGAAAGAATGATGTAAGAAAGCAGTATTAGAATCTCAGATAACTTATAGAATAAGCAGAAAAATAATGAGGGATGAGCACTGCTGCCAGCTCAGGTGAAGTAGCACTCTGCATGGATGCAGGTAGGATGCCAGTATTTCAGCACAACTTCACTTAGCTTGATCCATCTAAAAACATCTCAAACATCTTTTTAATGTGTGACCAGTAATTCCTAGATGCTTTACCAGTGCTGTATCGCTTGGGAAAGGAACAGATTTTCCAACATAGCTGCGCACTGCAGTTTAATGTCTAGAGAGCACATGCTTCTGATACTCAAAACTTCAGTGATCCCTGAAAATGAATATAAATTCTCGCTTGGATGAAAGGCCTTTGGGCTGAAAGCATCTCTTGTCAAGGTTAGGAAAAAAGATATAAATGGGTGCCCAACTGATTCACACCTTTGCTAACATTTCATACGGAAACTGGGGGACTGTAACATGGACAGATAAAAACCTTCCTTCCTACTTAAAAAAGAAAGTTATATTTAAGGAAAGTTTATTTTCCATCAAAACCAAAGATACTCATCTTAAATGATGCCATAATACTTCATTTACTCTATGAAAGAGAGCCTGCTTACCATGAATCCCTTCATAGTTCTGTAATACGGATCCAACAGAAGGCTTGCTACAGAGCAAACCTGGGCTGTCCTATCCCAGCCATCAGAGCAGTGAACAAGCACACTCACACCCTCCTCAGCCACAGCCTAAGGACACAGAAGAAGTCAGAAATTTCAACAGCAGGGAGAAAGGCAATAGTAAGAGAGGAACAGTGAGACAGTGCAATGTAGAGAGTATTAATTTGGATACTGAGAGACCTCCTTCATTTTTTACTCTGCCACAGATTTCTAGAATTGAGTGTTGTTCCCCTTGTTTGGAAAGTCTTAATTAATCTCATTCCATCCCATGCAACATGGCAGCTGCAGCATCACCTGTTTATGCTCCACTGTAGGAGGATTTGGGATCTGTTTCAATTAAAATACATCAATCTGTCAGAGCAGACAACTGTCTAAAGCAGATTCCGATGCTGTTAATGTCCTAATTCATATACCAGTAACAGAACAGCCATACTTCAAATATGGCTTTTAATTTCTCATCTTGATGGTAAGGTCAATAACAGCAATGTCTGCTTATGATGCCAGCACTAGTGTGGATACTATTACAACACACTGCATTGCACACTTGTGACATACTTCTCAAGGTTCGTGGGGAAGCCCATGGGAATGGCAAACTGCCATATCTAATAAATAAGATTGTGTCAGTATCTTTAATGTAAATAATGGAGGTTGGAGGATGACATTTTATACATAAATGCGTAAAGAAGAGATCATACTAACTTCTCCCAAGTTTGGTTTGCATTAGCTTTGGAATTTGAGGTTGAATTTTTTAAATTTGAAGGGGTTTGGCCTTTGTAATTTCTAAAGAAAACTTAATTTTAAAAGTAGAGAAATGAAGTAGGTTAGGGAAGATACTGCTTAGAAAAGCAAACATTTAAACCAAGTTTGAGCTTAATAAGGAGCAAGGAATTATAATAAATTATCTATGTTTATCTCAAGAGACAAGTAAATTGTACTAAAATAGAAGCCCTGTGGGCAGGCAACCAACAACTGAGACCCTGGAATGGTACAAATGAGAATGGGTCACAATGCATGTCCAAGGAGGCACAAGAAGCTAGCAAGCATAGGGACAAAGGATCAAATTCTTTTGGACCATATTTTAAGACTAGCCATGGGGGAAAAGTTGGCAAGAGCCAATGTAAATGACCTGATTTCTGTAAGGTAATAAAAGCTAGGAGGGCTGGGAAAATAGCAACATGCATTTATCTCGCAGCTGCTGTTCAGGTAACAAACAGTTGCCTGCTGAGCAGGAAGAAGCAAAGCAAGAGAAACAAGCAGCTACTGAGAAGGGAAAGCCAGGAAGTTTTATTCATATGGTCGTACGTAGCAGGACATGTGAATAAAACGGCCTGTAAGAAATTGTAACTGTAATCTCAAAAATAAGAATTGAAACAGTAAAAGGCAAGGAAGGGGTAATAAAACTGCTGTCAGTAGATGATAAATTTCTGCATTACTTTGGGTGGGATTTGGAGAAAAAAAATCTTATTAAAGCCACTTTTCTGAGCCAATTCTCAAGTATGCAAGAGTAGAAATTGCTAGAGCTTGGCCATGGTAATGCACAGGATTGGTTTAGGAGGTGAATTTTGTTTGTGGCTAAATAACTCAGAGGGGATAACACAGTAGCTAATATTCCTGTATTACAACTAACATGAAAAGAAGTAGTCCTCAAACAGAAACCTTCAACAAAGAAAATGTCCAGAAATCAGTGGAAGAGGCAGGGGAAATAGTGAAAGAAACAGTGACAATCACTGCTGTGGGGTAAAGTACAGACATTCAAATACCTGGCATACAAGATGCAGGCTAGTAGTGGCTTTAGTATGTTTGGATTCTTTGGTGAAGAACACAAACTTCTTTTTACCATATTAACAAAATGTCCACATGACAGTGCCTAAGAATCATCTCCCCTCATATATGAAGCATTTCCAGATGTTGGGGTTTTTTTCAGATACATCACTGGAGATAACAGAAGTTACCCACAAGCAGAGAAGTTGGTCTTCAGTTTCTGTACCTGGTTAGTCCAAGGTTAGTCCCCATTTTGCACACATTACCTTAGCAATAAAAATGCCAGCATCCATAATGGCTTTGATATGCTTCAGCCAGCCAGAATTTTCTAGGCCCCACAGAAAGTCACTCATTGAAGGTGATTTCAGCTCACAAACTGCAAAATAAGCCACAGCTTAAATGCACAGTAATCATAGACCCTGAGGCTTTCATTGACCGTTCAACCAAAAAGTTCTCTTCAGATATCCTTCATATAAAGCATTCATCTTTTGAAAAGAATGGCTACTTCACAGTCAAAATTTACCACTGAAAAAAAACCCAAAAACCAGCATATATTTAAGAAAGCGTGATGGGTCAAGTTTCCCCCAGTATGTTGATGTAAATTAAAAAGAGAAGCTGTTACAAAGCCTGTTGCAAACAGTTGACCAAAGACATCCTTTGCAGAGGAAATTTTCCAGAATTGTATTGGGAGTGAAGTTTTCAAACCCATGAGAGGGGATTGTGTATTTAATAATGAGAGCTTGGAAACAGAAAGCATACAATTTCTGCTCACAGACAGCCAGCCACCTAAGTGGTGCCACAGCCTCTCATTCCCAGCCGTGTTTGCTGATGAAGCTCTAAGAGCAGGCCCACCAAACCCAGCCATCAGCATAACCACAGATGATGGTATTTGAGTGAAAGCTATTCACTCTCAACAGTTCTCCATCCCTGAATGAAACATTATTAAAACTTCACTTAGAAAGTATTCTGATGGTGAGGAAAATCTGTAATTCATCAAGGAAAATACTTTCCTGAAAGCTTTCCAAGCTCTATGCCATGTTTGAAAAAAAGAAAACTCTCCCAGTTTTTACAACATTAAGTTTCTACCCTGCTGCATCCAAGTGTCTCATTTTTAATATTACAGAGTTTGTAACCTCAGGACAGAAAGAGGGCAGTCAGAATATAAATCAAATCATAGAACTGTAGAATGGGTTGGGTTGGAAGGGACCTTAAAGTGCATCCAGTTCCAGCCCCCCTGCCGCGGGCAGGGACACCTTCCACTACACAAGGTTGCTCAATCTAGCAGCGAACAAATACAGAGCAGTATTTGGTGCAATCTCCTTTCAACAGCGAGACACTAAATTCACCCCATAAACAGACTATACATGTATTTTGATCCGTGCACAATTATACTGTCTTTTAAGGAAAAAAGATATTAACTAGTGAAATGTATTTAAGGAATGCAGTGTAAAATGTCCTGGTTTTCACTGAGTTAATGTATAATCTATGAATTAATAATGTCTTAGTAGATCTCTTATCCTCTGGAAATCTTCTAAAGGACTCAGTTAATTATGGCCATTATGACCAGTGGCACGACTTTAGAGTCCTTCAATGTAATTGGAATTTGGTTTTACAGGCAAAGTCAGAGTTTATACCACATCCAAAGATATTTGGCTGCCTTAATTCCATTTAATTCAGGGGGGAAATAGCCTAATGTGTCCATACAGAGTCCTGCAATCTTTATACATCGGGCCTTTTCCAGATGGTTATTTTAAAAGTCATTTTTGAAGGATATTTATAAAAATGCATAGATAATGGCACTGAAAGCAAACAGCTTTTCACATGATTAATGCTCCTGTGCAGATGGAAGCATGACCAATTAGTAGCTGAATTCTGGCTGAAGCTGCTGTCTCTATTTACAAAAGCCCAAGGCAAGGCTGAAATAGTGCTTTTCTCATTCCCACTACCAAATTAGAGTCAATATTTACCAACCACTTCACTGAGCAAAGTTCAGACTGTCCAAAAGGCATACACTGTGTATTTCACATGATTTTGGCTACCAATCTGGACCTTAATACTGAGTTCAATTATGAATTGAATTATGAGGCTTACCCTACAGGGAAAAGGTGTTTCTATCTCAGCAGAAAAAGCACCAAAATCTTGGAGAAATAAGACCTGCTGCACCCACTGCATGGGCACTGGAAAATCAAGAGCCCCTGTGCAGAACTCATAGCAATCCAGTGGCGCTCCATTCCCCAGTAAGGGAGGAAGAAACAGGACACATAGTGGAAACTGCCTCTTCCACCAGTGAGGGTGGATGCTGGACCAGTTCTCCCATTTCTAGCAAGAAGGCCATAGATAGAGGAAGTAGTAGATTCTGTGGGCCAAACCCTCAGGACTCTTTCTGGCTGATCCATTGCTGAAGCCAAAGGATCAGGGGGCTGCTCATGTATCAGCAACTACTCCTGGTATGAGGGGAGGAGAAGCTCATATTGGCTGTTTAAATACAGACAGTGTTTAAATGCAGACAGGAAGCAGCATGTGGGGTCATCATCTCAATGTCTAACAAATGAGGGTGAAGTCTTGGCTGACGCCTGGATGTGTGGCAGAGTTCTCCCATCACAAACACCAAAAGACAGCCTCGGTCAGACCTTGAATCTTTACTGGAAAATGTCCTTGTGCAATATTTCTTTCTAATATTAAAAATAATTTCAAGGAGGTTGTGACCAGGATCAAATTATGGCATACCTCTTTTTAAATGAAAATTTCAAAAATCAGTGCTATACTAAAGCAGTATGAGGCAGCAGAGACAGAAGTAAAACATTTTTTTGGGAAGGGAAGGAAACTTCAGCATGTTTACATGCATTTTATTTCCAGAGGACAGTCAAATCTCAACATTTTTTGCATATTCTGAAAGAATTCTTATTGTCCTACAAATTTGATCATTTTATGATGTATTTTGACCAAAATTAACATTATATAAGGGGAAATACACGTTAAAGTTAGGAGAAATAAAATTGTTAGAAACAAAGTCAGTAAAATTACAAAGCTGAAACCATTTTTTTTTTACCTACTCAAATAAATCATTGACATTATTACAATTATAAATTAATTTATTCAGCTTTTCCCTAAAGAAAAATCATTGAAATGAACACATTCCTAATATAAGTGCATTTTCCACTAGAAAACTCAATAATCAATTTTTGTTCAAATTTCCTCAGCATTGAAAGTTACTTAAAATTGATTATGTTAAATAATCTGCAGTTTCTCATGTGAAGAAGGTCCTCCAACCTTCACTTCTGCTTAATTCCAGTACAGTGAATGAAATTGCCTCTGCACTTCTGCAATACATCAGATCCATTATGTCTTGATGTCCTCTTTTCCACACCGTACACTTCCAAGCAGCAATGCAGCACACATGAAACATTTTTCATCAGCCTCATTTGTCTTTTCAGAGGTTTTTATGTACCTTGTAACATCTCACACCAGATCACGAGCAGCAGACATATCCATTTTTAAAGGCCACCAGAGAAACATGAAGGGAAATAGAAAAAGAGAAAACCTATGCAGCACCTTGCATGAGAAAAGCCCTTCTCATTCAGTGAAAGTGCTTGAACTCGCAGATTTAATTTATCTAATTTCCAATCTTATCAGCAGGTTGCTAAATAAGAGATTTCAACATACCAAATGTAAAACCTATGGAAAAAGCAGATGTTTTGCTCATACGGCTTATTTAAAAAGAGATGCTAAGAAGGAATGTTTCGCTAAGCAGCCTGAAGTGGTAAATGAATTAGAAATTACCTTGTTACAGATCAGTTTGAGCTGTGGGCGACTCTCACAAACTTTTGGCTCAAAAATAATACACAGCACTGTCCATGCAGCCAGGCTGGTTGTTTACTACTTTGACTTTTAAACTGAACAAATAAAAGAACAGGTATATTCACCCAGCCTCTCTCCTAGCCAAACAAGACTTTGTAATGAGCTAAAAATCCTTCCGTTTTCCTCCCTGAGACCCTTAGACCAAGGAATTAAGTATAAATATGTCACAAAGAGAGTGACTGTTGTAACCTCCATCACACTTCACTGAATTATGTCATTGAAGTAAATGTCATCTGGATTTCAGCCACAAAACAAGGTGTTTGCATGATTAGGAACTCACCACTAGTTGTGATGATGCTCCACTGTACAAGTCCCATTAGTCAGCAGGCAGCTGCACACAGCTGCAATGGGCAAAGATCTCCTTTCATACCTGTTTTCACTGCTACTGATTTCAGAGCATTTACCCTGATTTGAATGACAGAAGGATTAAATCTTTCCTCTAGTTTTCAGTAGAGCATTACCTTCAAGCATTTTCTGCAGACTGTTTCTCATGACATGGATGTTCTCAATGCCTATGAATTGAAACTTGATGTTGGAGTAGTTGTCCTCATTTTCGTATCCCTTCCCTGCTGCTCTGTTTGCCATTGCGTTGAGCTGGGAAAATAGGGAAAATTATATGAAAACCCAGTAGCATGCTATTTTCAAAACAAAGCTTGTCTACTGCAATATATCAGTGTGATTTAAGTCAGGTACAAATAGGAAGCATTTATCATGATGTCAACACAATGGGTTAGGAGTCAGGGATCTTTTGCAGCCTGTTGCATGGCACTGGACTGCTGAGCCTCTGACCTCTATTTTACACACTGGAGTGAAACTTCATTAGTGAAATTAAACACAAAAAACACAGCTTATGTAGGGTTCCTCGACAAGAGCATAAAGGTTTTAATTTGGGTTTAAAAGACTATTCTGATTTCATTTTTTGATGAGCATTATGTTTAGTAGCAGAATATACCCAGCAGATGGCAGTGTCTTAAATGCCATGTTACTGTTTCGTAACATGTACTCTGTAATGTTGCCCAAGTTACTCTGGTTTCTGCTCAAATCATCCAAAAGTTGATACAGCTTATTTCTTTGAAGCTTGGAATAATGGAGAGCTGGAATTCTTCCTAAGTTTGTTCTATTTTGGCTGTAGTTGTATAAGACCACAAACTATTTGAATTAACAAAATTACCACAAATATTTTCAGTTGCAGTGCAGAACTATCAAATACTGTGCTCTGCTTCAGCAAAAAAATACATGCAATTGGAAGCTGGAGTTTTGTCTTTGAATATCTTACTTGCTTCATGGCGTGGGAAAGTCACTAAATGATTCTTTAGTTCAATTTTCCCAAGCATAAAATTAAGGGGTTTTTTAATACTTATTTTCCCCCTTCTGAGGCGGAGCTGATCCAAATGAATGAAGTGCTTTTACTTTATTACTCTATTTTATTTTTAAGTTTTATTTCCTGTAGCAAAATCTCGCTGTACAATAGAAAGAAACTGTCTTTTTGCCTGAAGTTCCTGCTCTTCTATGAAACGCACATTGTAAGGTAGCGGAGCCTTTGAACTTCCCAATCAATATGAAGGATCCAGGAGTAACAAAGCAGTCCACATGGCAGAACCTCCATGCCACACACACATGCCTAGCACAGCTGGCAGCTGCTGCTCAGGAAAGATTTCAGAATTGAATAACAATGGATATTGCACATCCAGACTGGAGGGCACTAACAAAGCTTTTGGAGAGACCTTATGAGGCATCAGCTGGACAAAAAGTGACTCATCTTCATTGCAGTGAGAGCCAATGCTCATGAAAAATCAAAGCAAAATATCTCTTAGGCATTGCCTAGGGGCCAAGAGACTATGTGGATAACTCCAATTCTCATTTATTTCTCAATATCGCAGTCAGTACTATTGATTTGCTGCCTCTGTGGTCGCTTATGAAACTCACAATAATCTACTTCAGTAATCTACTAATGGTACCATGGGATACACAAGAATGTCCTTTCCTGATCTCTTCCACCCCAAACACACATACTGCCAATATTCAATTTTAATTTGGAGCTGAATGAATGCAGTTGAGTAGGATTGATTGTCTGCTGCCAATTTACCTCCAGCTAAGATGAACAAGTTCAGCTTTTTCAACATCATATGTCAAAATAGCTTTCAATGGATCAAATTTCACCTCTCAACTTTCAAAGGAAAGAGCTAAAGACTAAAAACTCTTTATGCCATTATAATTTCATTTCAGATTCACAAGAAAACAGCTGGAGGAAACCCCCCAGCATTTTTCATTTACTCAAGTCCCATGTAAAACTTCCTTTAACTTGTAGTGTGCATTCAGGAAAAAGGGGGCGGGGGGGGGGGAATTCTTGTCTATCAACCAGCTGTCTGCTGATGTTCTATCAATGAAAAAAGCCAGTCTGAGAACAGCATGTCCTTTAAGGACAAAGTCCTCAGTGTGACTTGCTAGAAAGATATAAATTATCTGCTGAATCCTAATCTTTCTCTTTTGAAGTAGACATAAGTGTCTAAGAAGAAAGATCTGTATGCATAAGTCTAAGCCACCACAACCCCTTGAAACACTAAATGACAAACATCTAGCCCCTAACTGACCTAATCCCCAGTAAAATAAATGCTGTTAACTGTCTCTGCAGGGGATGAATTTTGTCACAGAAATCCTTTCTTGAAAGACAATCTGAAGTAGGCCTCGTTAAAAGTAAATAAATACAAGGTTAAATTTGCAAGGCTTTCTGACACTCATTTATTTTAAATATTGTCAGTTGCTGAACTTTGCAGCTGCCACAATATTTACTAACAAATTTTCCACATCACCTACCAAAATTCCATCTGCTGCTCTTAAAGTGGTTGTAAAGCTCTCTACATTGTGCCTGACCTCACTTAATCTCAGTGAATATGAGGATACAACCTCTGAAGGGAACAGACCTCACTCGGCAGATTTCCTGGCATCTTTAATGTGGACAATAACCAAGTCCTATCTTGTTATAAAGAGTTATAGAATTAATCTGTTCTACTCATAAACAGTAAATTTATATTAGCTTCTGTAAAGCTAATAGAGGAAGGAGAAAACCAAGACAGACAGCAACCTAAGTAAAGCTCTGCATATGGTCACCCTGGTATATTTAAATGAAGTGGAATAAAAGCTTTCTTCCACAGCCAAGTCCTTTGTTTTGAAGATTATCAAACACAATGAAGCACAACGTATGAGGAGCACCTGGGAATGCTGAATTCCAGGGCCCATCAATATTCATAATCTCTGCAATTCTGATGAGAGAAGAGGCAGGTAGTTTTTTAATTTCCTAGAGCAATGGGAAACCTTGCACCAGACTTGCTACCTTACCTTTACATTTGTTAAAGGTTCACTGAGGAGTGGCTTGTGCTGATAAGTATCACTTCCTACATGCTCTAGATTTATAGATGCATTAGGAGGTATAGAATCGAAACAAGGCTGTTATTTGGCACCAAGAGCTTTAGTAAATTAGTCAGTCTTGTAGCACAGAGAAGTAGGAATCTGTGTATACAAATTTCTTTACATCAAAACCCTTTTCTCTACAGAAGTTCAATGAAAGCAGACTTTATCTCCTGAGCGGCTTCTGAAGAAGCCAGAGTTGGTGGAAACATGACGGCATTCATGGCACAGCAAGCCAGTTTTACTCTCTCCACTTAAAGTACAGCCTTTTTTCACTGCGCACAGGAAGTGTCTCGATGTCATTTACCAGAAAAGTTCACAGAATGGGACATTCCCGTTAATACCTTGTAAAACATTACTAATAGCCAAGTCAGTCAGTCTTTAGAAATAAATCCCATCAGCGAGCAACTTCCTTAATTAGGGAAGACTACAAGTATCATCAGCCAGGAAACATTATGCTGTAACTATTATTACATATAGAAAACTGTTACGAACAAGCATTCTTTAGGCAGCTAGGTCTGTGCTTCGTATTTGAAGCCTGTTCTTCTGAACACAGTGGTAGCAATCCTATCCTAGTGCTGATCATGGTTCATTTTTTTCAGGACTACAAGTAAGGTGGTGACATCCTTGTCTTCCCAACAGAGGGAACTGAAGGTCAAAGTAGTCACCAAATTACAAAGTGCAATGAGACATGCCAAAGCCCTGATTGTCTGGCTACTGCCTCTCTGGTTACTCTGCTCTCTGGTTACAGCTCTGAGTGCTCAGCGCTTTCCCACCAAGCCCCCAGATCTTCAGTCAACCACCAAACAGATTTCTCATTTCTGCTCTAGCTCTGCCCTTCCTCATTCCATCTCAGGATACTGAAACAGCCTCCTTGTTCCTTTCCTTCAAACCTTTGCTCCCACCTTTCCTTTTCCTGTGCTATAGCTTATCCACATCTAGTCGGGATTTTGTGGAGATTTGCCCTTTTGTTTTCTTTTCTTCAGATACTTGGTAACATCAACAGGGAAGCTACCGATTGTGTAAGAAAGAATATATCCCTACTGCCACCTCCAGGCACTGAAGCCTGTTCAGTCCTCATCACCTACAGCTGTTTGTTAGCATGTCAATTTGGACACAAGGGTTTTTCAGCTTCCAGTCTCTTCTAGATGATTACTGAGTTTCTGCACAGCATGATTTTTTTAAAGCTTCTATCTTGGCCAAAGATTTTAGTCACATACAGGGATATGGCATCTGAGATCATTATTTACCATATTTCAGATTCTCTCACAAAAGCATAAAAGTGCTGGAGATATTCAAAGAAGGTTTCCTAAATTCTTGTAACATCAGTAAATGGTCTTTCCTCAGCCTTATGCAGAGGTCATTGAAATTTTCACGTTTCGGGAGAAATGTTGCATGGACAATCTTAGTATAAGCAGGCAAAGGTTTGCAACCTTCCAAACAGCTGTAAATACAGATTTATAATGGGAATTATTTTCACTGCTCTCATCAGTAATATATAGTTATTGATAGGTCCTCTGTGTGTGGAAGCAGTTCCAATTCAAGTTACTTACTTATCTGTATCTTAACATTTTGTTAAGAACAAAGATAAAAGCTCAGTGTAAAGAAAAATATTCTCCAAGAGCTAAAAACGTGGGCAAGGTTCCTATTTAAGATTCCCCTGATAAACCCCGATTTGCCTGTGGAGTTGCAACTAAATCAGAAGTATGGTGAGTCACTTATGCTGTGCATCTTCCCTAACGTATTTAGTCCAGATTCAGTCCTGCTATGTGCAAGAAATTTAAGGTACTTACTTTGGGCCTTGTGTCAACAACATATATGAAATCACTTCCTGGATTTGCTTTTCTAACGGCCTGGAGCATCTGTTCATCCTCCAGGCATCGAGCACTAAAGCCAGATAAAGGCTGGCTGCTTCTACATATGGAAGCCTGTGGAAAAACAGACAAACAACAGAAAAATCAACGTAGCTATCAAGCAGAAATTATTTAGCATCCAGAAGCATTTACAAAACCAGCTCATTAGATGTTTGCATAGGTGTACAGCTACGTGGGAAGGCGGAATGGTAAAAATGAACTACGTGTTTATAAACTTATTTTTAAAAAGGAAAGGAAATATTAAAACAATGCAACCCCACTGGCCCAAGTCTAGTCTTGAATCCAAGTTTAAGAGCTATTTTAAATATAGTATTGTCCTAATGTGGAATAACTCCTGCAAGGTGGTCTCTAGAGGATGTGAGGAGTGCAACACTGCAATCACAAGAACACTGATGTAATATAAATAATGAGTCCTTTTGCACTGTCACTCACACTTACCAGTTATGATACTGATTACACCCAGCTTACATCAGTGCATGCTTTACTAAACAGCCTGATTCTATGAGTCCAGGAAACAAAACCACGTAACATGCAGCTAGATCACTGATGGTGGTATATTTTTAGCACTGCCTCTGGAGAAAGACCTTACTGCATGGAAAGTGGGTCAGGCAGCCTGACCTCTAGAATACATTTATTAATCAGTGCTGTTGAAGAAGGAAAGAGTTTCTCCACAGATCCATCAGGATCAGACCTTTAGGTGAAACTGGGAAAGAAGGAACAGAATGTGAAACGGGTGAGCAGGGAGGTTTTTATTTCTGCTAGGGAGAGGGGAGATAGATTTGTAAAGAGCAAGGGGCTGATACATGCACTTTCCAAGCACTGAACATAAGCATGAAGAGAATCTGCCTGCTGAAGGTCATGACCCATGCAGACTGCCCTACGGATTATTGATTAATGTGAAAAAGGACATGATTTTTTCCAGACAAGTCTTTGAAGTATCGGTAGTTATTCAGTAAAACCTAGATCTTTAATACAGGAAAGCTAAATTGTGTGAGAGCCTGTTAATACTTTATTCACAGTTTTTGCACACAGATTGTTAGTTATCTAGAGCCTTCCCTGCTGATCAGCACACATTCCAGCAATATAAACTTATATTAATATAAACTTATACCTCCTTTGCATGAAGCAAAAGTACATTTGGGTATGTCCACAACCTGCCAATTTAATAGAAGGAAGATGTTTCTCTCTCCTCCATAGTGTGCCATACACGCATACATACAGGATTAAGGCTAAAGTTATGGTTGTGAATGAAGGTTAGGATTCAGGAAATTATGGTCTACAGGCTATTACATTATATCATACTGGAGGCCCAAAGGGTTAAGGTGTGTGCAAGCAGCAGTATGAGAGAATGGTTTGTTTGTCAATTTAGGCTTGAGTTTAAGGTTATGTTTAGCTTCAGATGAAGAAACCTTTTCATTGCCAATATTTCAAAATTAGAAAGATAAGATATTCTAGTGACCATTGGATATCGTAAGTGGAAATTATTATCCACGATATCCATGAAGAGATCACCTCCTGCCAACCAGGCCAATTGCTTAGGATGAGCATACACATCTATAAAACTTCTTGAGCTATTTTTAAGAGTAGGGCAAGAGATGAGGTTGTGTTTACTACTGCACAGGCTGAACAGATAGTTCCAGAGTTTGATCTTATCAGACTCACACAGATCTTGTAAGATGCAGAGACAGATTCCACATTGTCATTGAATTTGTCAGTACCAAAGAGCAGTGGGAAACGTCTGGATATGAAAGACTGAATGAGTGGCACCTGTCTTTCCTGCATGCAGTAAAGCTCTTCCCAACCTGCTGGTTCCATCTCTGTTCAGTGTCTACCACCAAAATCTTACCCCACTCCTTCCCATTACTCTGTTAGCTGCAACTCATGCCAAGCTCCAAACTCACAAGGAGGATTTTTTCCAACATTCCCAGCCCTTTTCCTACTCCTTTTAATCATAAAGAATCCAGGAGTAAACACAAAACTTCAAATCCTTATGGTCTGAACCTTAACCTGAACTCCAGCTAAGCTCTTTCAGCCATCCTTTTTGGGTCTATTCACAGATCTTTTCTTGAAAGGCTACCCCTGAATCTCTTAATTGCTACAAGTGTAGTTTTTCTCCTCCTAGACTTGCTTTCAGGCTGTGGCTACCAGATCCTTTATTGCTCTGTTCTCCTCCCAGTCACTTGCTCAACTGCCTGCTGCTGGCCTTCGCTCTCCTGCCACCCATGTTTCAGGATCTCCTGTGCTACTCCACTTCCTTGTGACACAGAGATTGCATATTGTTGTGTTAGCTGGATGATGAAGCTGGGTTTAAATGACTATATGCCTATTAACAAACTAGCCATAACTCCAGTGTGTGACCATATGCACAAACCACACTAACCTGACAACAATAACCTTTTCTTTGTTTTCTTTTTTAATAAAATAATCACTGATTTCTTCTTGTGAAAGCTTACCAGAAGAATTATGAAAGCAAACCCAAAATAAGCCAACACTTCAGAGCTGCAAATTCACACTTACATTGTTCTCCTTGCAATAGTAAGAAAGAGCTGGGAAGCGCCTTCGGCTCCGAAATTTAGAGCTCCCCACTATGATGTGTGCAGTTGCAGACTTTGGTACATACACTTCTGTAGGATAGGAATCACAGACCTGTGAAATAAAGCTCTACTTATTTTTGGTCTACTACATACAAGTAATATTAGCCACCTCCACAGCAGATTCAAAATAAACAAAATATCAAGGAACTGTAACCTCAGGGAGTATTCCATCATTATTGTATACATATCACTGACATTTCTCAAAACAGTCTTTTGAAGCTAGAAAGTATTAATTCTAACTTATGAATGGCAAAACTGAAGCAAAAGGGTTGAAGGGCTGTATTTCCAAATGTTAATCCATGCCTCTTTGAGAACAGATAGGGAGAACATACATTCGTAACAGGAAGGATTCATCACTATGAGCAGCAAGATTGTATTTACAGCTGCAGTTTCCTCTGGAGCAGAATTCAGAAGTAAGGATGGGAGGGGGTGAAGGTCTCAAACACCTCTCTGTTGTAATGGGAGGGGACTACAGAGCCAAATTTTCCAGCAAATCTGATGATTATAAAAACAATGCAAGAAAAAAAAAAAAAGACTTGGAGAAAAGAAATTAATCCATATGAAATGAGGATACCGAAAGGCAAGCAGCCCTGACAATGCCCACTACTTCTGAAAGGAACCCAATAAGCCTGTAAAAAAGTCCAGAAGTTCCTCTGAAGACAAGTGTGACCCATCCGCAGGTCCTGAAGGAGCTGGCAAATGAAGTTGCGAAGCTGCTGGCCATCATATTTGAGAAATCATGGCAGTCAGGTGAAGTTCCCAATGACTGGAAAAAGGGAAATATAACCCCCATTTTCAAGAAGGGGAAAACGGATGACCCAGGGAATTACAGACCTGTCAGTCTCACCTCTGTGCCTGGCAAAATCATGGAGCAGATTCTCCTGGATGGCATGCTAAGGCACATGAAAATCAACAAGGTGCTTGGTGACAGCCAGCATGGCTTCACTAAGGGGAAATCCTGCCTGACCAATTTGGTGGCCTTGTATGATGGGGCTACAGAACTGATGGACGGGGGTAGAGCAGTTGATGTCATCTACCTGGACTTGTGTAAAGCATTCGACACTGTCCCACACGACATCCTTGTCTCTAAATTGGAGAGACATCAATTTGATGGATGGAGCACTGCAGTGGATAAAGAACTGGCTGGATGGCCGCACACAAAGAGTTGTGGTCAGTGGCTCAATGTCCAGCTGGAGACCAGTAACGAGTGGTGTCCCTGTGGAATCGGTGTTGGGACCGGTCTTGTTCAACATCTTCATCGCTGACATGGACAGTGGGATTGAGTGCGCCCTCAGCAAGTTTGCCGATGACAGCAAGCTGTGTGGTTCGGTTGATACGCTGGAGGGAAGGAATGCCATCCAGAGGGACCTTGACACACTTGTGAGGTGGGCTGATGCCAACCTCATGAAGTTTAACCATGCCAAGTTCAAGGTCCTACACCTGGGTCGGAGCAATCCCAGGCACAGCTACAGGTTGGGCAGGGAAGAGATTCAAAGCAGCCCTGCGGAGAAGGACTTAGGGGTGTTGGTTGATGAGAAAATGAACATGAGCCGGCTTCAGTGTGTGCTTGCAGCCCAGAAAGCCAAGCGTATCCTGGGCTGCATCAAGAGGAGCGTGACCAGCAGGTCGAAGGAGGTGATCCTGCCCCTTGTGAGACCTCACCTGGAATATTGTGTGTTCTGGTGTCCTCAACATAAAAAGGACATGGAACTGTTGGAACAAGTCCAGAGAAGGGCCACAAGGATGATCAGGGGACTGGAGCACCTCCCATATGAAGATAGGCTGAGAAAGTTGGGGCTGTTCAGCCTGGAGAAGAGAAGGCTGCGTGGAGACCTCATAGCAGCCTTCCAGTATCTGAAGGGGGCCTATAGGGATGCTGGAGAGGGACTCTTCATTAGGGACTGTAGTGATAGGACAAGAGGTAACGGGTTAAAACTTAAACAGGGGAAGTTTAGGTTGGATATAAGAAGGAAATTCTTTCCTGTTAGGGTGGTGAGGCACTGGAATGGGTTGCCCAGGGAGGTTGCGAATGCTCCATCCCTGGCAGTGTTCAAGACCAGGTTGGACGATGCCTTGGGTGAGATGGTTTAGTGTGAGGTGTCCCTGCCCATGGCAGGGGCGTTGGAACTAGATGATCTTAAGGTCCTTTCCAACCCTAATGATTCTATGATTCTATGAAATGGGGTCCTGGTCTAACTTCGTTTTCCTGAATCTGCCTATCGCATTCTGGCTGGGGTCAAAAGGATATTCAGTATCTCCCTGGGGCTTTCTGAGATGACTGAATGAATTAGGATGCCCAGGAAGAAATTAGGTTCTGAGAGTCAGAGATATGGAGTGAGGGAGAAAAGGAAGGGCTTGTGGTTACGGATGCTGCTGTGGTGAACTGGGTTTTATTCATGATGCCATTTTTCCTACTCTTTATCTTAAAAGAGGTCAAACATTTTTTCCAGTTGTTTTAACAAAAAGAAAACAAACCCTGATAGCACATTCAGTCTTCTCTGAGAAATTCACAGGCCCTCCTTAACATGGATATTCTCCAGCAACAGAGACAATGGAGTGCATGAACAAACTTCCTTCAGAAATACTTTGGTTATTATTTCTTGCAATTTATTAACATTCTAGGGACTTCAATTGAACAAGATTGAACTAGGCAGGACAGCAGGCAGCTAGGAAGATACATGACTTGTCAAATGGCTGAAAAATGTAAACAGTCACTCACAGAGGCTTCAAAAGGATTGTGAGAATTGCTAGTGAGGAAAAAATATTGCCAAGTTCACTATTAGAAGTATTGTTTTTCTTAAAATGACTGTGTAGTAGTTTTACATAACCCTACATGGCAGGAAAACATTCATTCAGACACGTAACATTAGGTATGATTTAAACCTCTGCCCAAGCAGTCAAGCACTAACATTTAAAACACTGTGGACATGTTTTCTGTGTTAAATGAAGACACATCCTTTCTTGCATGCTATATGTGTCTTTCTGTGTGAAAGGGTGAAAGAACTGCGCCTTACTACCTGTGTGTACAGCACTGAGCACAATGGAAACCTGCATCTAAGCACTACAGTTATCCACAGCCAGACTGCTGCTTTACTTTACAGACAGCCTCTATAACAGAAAATCACAACTCACTCCATAGTCTCTGTTTACATCGCTAATCTGCCAATAGTTGTTTGGAATACCCATCCGATTATATTCTTTGTTGAGGTCCACAAGCTTCCAGCCTTGTTCTCGTTCTTCTTTATCTAATTTTGGATTGAATGAGAAACAATACAGCTCTTCATATTTCACTGGGGGGGAAAAAGCAAACAAACAAAACCAGTAAACCACTTCAGATTTCTCATTCTGAAACCACACTTCAAAAACAGAGCTTGGCATTGTATTTCATGTACTTCCTTTTAAAACAGTATGCTTTGCTGTACAAAAGCACATATCCTGCGAAGGACAAAGATGCACAGCTACATTCTTCCTCTTCAGGATGAGGATTGACTTTCAGGGCAGTTTCCTTCCCCTACCTGGTCGTGTCAGACGTATCAGAGATATGTAAACATCATGGCAGTCTCGTTCCTGAGGGATGACCAGCTGGATGACCTGGAAGTTCTTGCAGCGGATCAGCAATGGGCAACCAGTAGCAGTGGTAGCCTGCTTCTCAATAGAGGAAATTTGACTGTGAAGAACCTGCGAGGGAATTGAAAATGGTTATGCCAAGTGATTCAAATCTTTAGGAAGGAAAACAGTTATTTATAATGATGTGCCAGGGCAGGCGCAGTAGCTTCTTGAAACTACTCTTTCAGGAAATTACCAGACTCCTCCTTGTGAACTTTTGGTCCTATCTTCAGCTTCAGGCTTAAGCAGTGCCTGATAATCACCTACAGACAAAGAAGTGTTTCTGGAGTTTTTCAGCTGCTCAAACATTAGCCTGCTCATGCTATCCAAAGCTTTTTGTTTGTTTGCTTTACTGCAAGCTAGCAGTTGTCAGCAGAAGAACTCTTTTCATCTGTCTGCACTGTGACAAGATGAGCTGATCAGATAAGGCTAAAATGTTGAGCATCCTCTTTGGCAGAATGGGAGTCCTGATGTAATTTTAAACACTGCATTAGATGAGATGAAACATTACCATAAAAATCAGGAGAGGAATAGTGGGACCAAAAGAGGACAGGGTTAATAATTAGCAAGAAAATTGACAAAGGATTCATAATTGTCGTGGTTTAAACCCAGTCAGGTAACTCGTTCGCTCACTTCCCCCCCTTTTCTTGCCCTCCCCCTGCTCTCGGAGGGACGGAGAGGAGAATCAAAAAGAATGCAACTCCCACGGGTTGAGATAAGAACAGTTTAGTAACTAAGGTATAACACAAATCACTACTGCTACCACCAATGATAATAATGATAAAGGAAATAACAAGGGAAGAGAATACATCATCTCACCACCAGCCAACCGATAACTCGCCCCCCCAGCCCGACCAAGCTCTGACCGATACCTCCTCCAACCCTGCAGTCTCCCAGCCCCTTCCGGCTAACTCCCAGTTACATCCTGGGCATGACGTGCTGTGGTATGGAATACTTCTTTGGTCAGTTTGGGTCAGGTGTCCTGTCTCTGCTTCCTCCCAGCTTCCCCTCCTCCCTGGCAGAGCATGAGGCTCACAAAGTCCTTGGCCAAACCAAAACATCGCTTGTTATCAGCTCCGTTCCCGAGCTGAAAGTCAAAACACAGCACTGCACCAGCTACCAAGAAGGGGAAAAATGACTGCTACTGCTGAACCCAGGACATTATCCACCCCTTATTCCATACCATTCACGTCATGCTCAGATCCCACATTTTCAATATACCATCACTCTTATCTCAGTGCACTCTTATCTTAGTGCATGGACCAGTCCCTATAAAGCTGCTGAGTCCATCTGGTCCATGATGTCAGGCTCCATCTCTTGTAACAGTCTTCCAGAGCAGGAGAGACTGTGTGCAGTGTTCACACTCATGAATAACCTGGGCAATATTGTCCATTGCTAAGTCCACCCCTCGATCATGAGTCCATCTCTGTGTTGCATCTCTGCTCTGATGGCCTGAAGTGCCATGGGCCCACCAGGCTCAAAATAATTCACTGTCCCCTTCAGCAGTTTCTGCAGCTTGTTGCTGGGGACTCCATACAGCTGCCTTCCATCTCCGATGCTTCCAAAGCACTGGAGGGGCCCAGTGGACTAGATACTTGCCCATACTGTCCCACATACCCTGCCACTCATCACTGTCCAGCCTTGGAGAAAACCTCTTGGTCCCCCTATATCCTCGTCTAACCCCAGACAAGACCCAGACCTGACTCTGCTTAACTTTTGAGATCAGACAAAATGGTTTTGGGTAGAACACAGTCTGTGTGTGTGCCAACATGCTGATCCCCATCACAATCAGCAGGCAGGTCCCAAGGATGCCCAAAGGCCATTCAAAACCTTCAGAACTCTCAAACGATGCTGCTGTACTTGTCACTGGGGCTGGTGCAGCTGCTGTACTTGTCGGCTCTCCCACCGCCAGCTTCTCTTTTCCTGAGTCCAGCTCTTCCCCCTCTGCCTTGCTGGGAAATGCTGCGTGGTCTCCTGCATCCTCCTGGGGCTCGGCGGGCGGCTGCCGGGAAATGCTCTCGGCCGTCGCGGGGCTGGGCTCGGCCGCGGGGCTCGGCTCCTCCGCCGCCTTCTCCCGCTGCTCGGCAGCCCCTTCCTTCTGCTCCTCGACCGCCCCGACCTCCTCCACCGGCAGCCGTCCCCTCGCGGCCTCCGGCCCCGCTCCCGCCGCCGCTTGGTCCCCGGGGCCGCTCTCCCGGGCCGGTTCGGCTGCCGCCGGCTCCCGGGGCCGCTCCCCCTCAGCTCCCCGCAGCCTCACGAAGATGGAGAGTAGGGTGAGGGCCAGGACGGTGAGGAGCAGCCGGACGGCCAGGTACAAGTCCAAGGCCACGTCCGTCCCGCCCTGCTGCTGGAGCCCGCCCGTATTACAAGCCATTGCCATAAAGCACAGTGAGACAAGAACCTTAGCCCAGGCCCCACACTTGATAAACACTAACACAGCAAATACCGGCTCTACGTAAGTTACAACATTCTGAAGCTGTGGGATCAAGCGAAACAACTCTGAGAGCCAATAAATCAGCATTGTGACGAGTGACTATTAATTCGGTCAGATCTGTTGTTATCTCAACCCTTCGTGCCCCACGTTGGGCGCCAAAAAGAACTGTCGTGGTTTAAACCCAGTCAGGTAACTCGTTCGCTCACTTCCCCCCCTTTTCTTGCCCTCCCCCTGCTCTCGGAGGGACGGAGAGGAGAATCAAAAAGAATGCAACTCCCACGGGTTGAGATAAGAACAGTTTAGTAACTAAGGTATAACACAAATCACTACTGCTACCACCAATGATAATAATGATAAAGGAAATAACAAGGGAAGAGAATACATATCTCACCACCAGCCAACCGATAACTCGCCCCCCCAGCCCGACCAAGCTATTCCGGCTAACTCCCAGTTACATCCTGGGCATGACGTGCTGTGGTATGGAATACCTCTTTGGTCAGTTTGGGTCAGGTGTCCTGTCTCTGCTTCCTCCCAGCTTCCCCTCCTCCCTGGCAGAGCATGAGGCTCACAAAGTCCTTGGCCAAACCAAAACATCGCTTGTTATCAGCTCCGTTCCCGAGCTGAAAGTCAAAACATTGCACTGCACCAGCTACCAAGAAGGGGAAAAATGACTGCTACTGCTGAACCCAGGACAATAATTAAGGTACATAAAAAACCTCTCAAAAATTGTAACACCAGAGCTATATCTGTATATATATATATATACACACGCAACATATGTTATCAGTCCCTCAAAACAGATACCTCAAAATACTGTGCAAAGAAATTGTATAGTATCCCACTCTGCACTATGCCCCAAAAGCCCCAAAACCAAACAGCAAAACCACTGATCCAGCACAAGCAGTCAGGGAGAGAGGCAAGAGCCAGCTGAACAATGGCAGCAATTCCCATTCAAAGCATTTCTCCTTCCGTTCTTCTTGGATGACAGAAGCAATACTAGTTCACACCAGCTGTTCCTCAGTCAGTCACATCTGGTGTACATATGGTGAAGGTCCTTCTACTCCTTTTACTGTATTGCAATATCCAGAATCCATGGAAAACTTTCAAAAATTACTAGGCTGGAATTTCACATGCTATAAAGTTATAAAGGCATCCATATGAACTGACTTATTGTGCTTCAACTGTTTTGCAAGGTTTTGTTAAAACTACCATCAATAAAGTGACATGCACTTACAGCTAACTGAAAAACAAAACCCAAAAATTCATACCCAGGTTTCTTTCCGAGCTTCAGAACCATTCTCCACAAATATAACATGAGTAGCTGTTAAATACAAGGTTCCTAGGGCAGCTTTTCTTGAAGATAAACGATCAAGTAACCGAACATTTTCCACCTATACAAAGAAATTACAAAGAAAAACATTATTGTAATTAGGCTACGACATAGCCTGTGATAGCAAGATCTCAACATTCACATTTTGTCCATTGCCCATGTTCTTTTCAGTACCATGAGTATCAGGGAAGTATAACTATATGACAAAATACTGTTATATTGTTATCTATTTCCAGATCTACCTTAATATTAATTTTCTACCCTTTTGTGGTACCTCTGTATACAAAAATCTGCTAGCAGAGACTTCCAAAGAAATTTCTCACTTGAGCTCTTTCCTGTTATCTCACCTTATCAAAAGGGCCTGGCCTTCAGCTAACCTCTAGCTTCATGTTGTCCATTCAAGCCATTCCAGAATGATCAGTGATACACAGGAAGCTAAATTAAAACAACAGTAATAGTGGTGGAGTATCTTTCTTTAGCAGACCTCACTCAGGCTCCCAGGCAAGTCTCTGCTGATGGTTTAAAAACTGTTCCAGTGTTTGTCGCTGCGCTTCTATTAGTGCTGACAGCATTGGTAGCACCAGAAATTTTTGCCTTCAGTCACTTTTCAATGGGAATCAAGGACTTCACATCATTGCTCTGGCTCACTGAACAGGAAATGGGCAAATCTGTCTTTGCTGCTCTCCTGACAACAGACAAGTCCATTACACGTTGTTAACTCTCAGATCACCAGCTTGCCGCTTCTGCACCATTAATATTTGTGTATGGCATATGTCATAGCCATTTATCTAATGCTATATGACATTTCTGACTGAGAAACTAGAACAAAAGAAATTAAAAATTATTAAATTATTGATTTAATAATTATTGGATATTAAATGGGATAAAACCTGCCTAAAATACTTAACAGTTTGCTACCATGGGTTTGATGCGTTTCCTACTACAGCAACTTTAAAACTAAAATTAGTGATTTTTCCTAAAAAACATACCTAATTCAAATAAATGAAACCAAGGAATGCTGGTGGTCAATATCATATAACTTGTAATAAATGACTGAAAAAGATTAATCTGGATTTATAATGTTGGAATTGTATGAGATCACATGCTTTTCATGCAAGCAGTGGCACAGACCTATGCAGCCTGCCCACTGCTACAAAAGATCTTCAACCCACTAGCTAATCTCTATATCCTCTCTTCAATTCTTCACTCACGACTTACAATTTCTTTCATACACCCAGTCATTTTCAGAACTTGTGACTGATAACTGTTGAAGAGATATGTCCTCATTAAAATCAAAAGGGACTAGTCTTGTGTTTGAAGTACAGAAACTGACTTAAATGGTGCTCTGACAAAATAGGAGGAAAAAAAAAGAGAATAAATTTAAAGAAGACCTTATCACTTTTGCATTAAAATAAATGTAATTTTGCACTAATTTCCTGAAAATCAGAATTAGGTGCAACAAATACAAAGAAAAAAAGAAAATCATCAGCAAAATCATTTTTTTTTAAGTGCCAGAGATTCCAGATCAGATTGTCAGAAACCTTCTAAAATACTCTAAGAGATGGGATGTAGCAATGTATTCTCAAAATTTTGCAGAAATAGTTCTGATGAAATTACACCAGAAACCAAATGATGCCAACACCTGAGAATTATATGCTTACAATGTGTATTCCAAATGCATTACACTATTTTAAAAACAGGAATTAAAAAAAAAAAAAATCCTTAAAACCAAAATAAGCCATTTTGGTAGCAAAATGCTTAAAATCAAACAACTAGTGAAACCAAGTCCTCTCCCTCAAGACCAGTTATAATCTGTTTTAAACAAAATAAATAGCTAGAAAGCATGGATGAAGTCTTTTCCTAGGACCATCTACTTCAGAGGTCATGTATTGGGATGAGGAGGAATGGAAGAAGCAATGGAAGAAGTATGGCATTAACCCAGTAAGCATTCAGTAGTAAGCAAAAGAAGAGATACAAAAGAGCTGGGATGATACAAAGGAAAGACATAGGCAGTGCCCATCTAAAACCCACAAATAACAATAAATATGATGTTTGTTTGTACAAAAAACATACCTAGAATGTTGTCCAGGCAATAAGGACTCTGTGTTATAGAGCACTGATCCTGCGCAAGGCAGTCATCACTCCCACCCTACAAGCTGAAGTAGTTAGCAAAGCAGACATCCACACAGCAGGGCAGGGCTGAAGGATGGATTTACAGGCTGGTTCATCCCACCCGTTCTCCACTCATCAATCAGAGCCCCATGACTGAATAATACTAACAAACAAAGCTCTTGGTTGGTTGTTTTTTAATACAGAGCTACAAATAAAATACAGGTTGGATCTGCATAATTAGGAACAGTTGTAATAACAACTGTGCAGTCAGTCATGTTTCATTAAAGCAAATACAATGGCTGCACCAGGTGAGATCAAAGATTCACCTACCCCTGCAATTTATCTCTCAGAGCCAACAATTGCAGCTGCTGAGGGAAGAGCATAAAAGGCTAGCATGTGCTGGTGCTCCCTTAGGATGTTATCGCAGCTTTTAAACAGCAGCAGCTCCTGGAGCTTCCTAAGCTGAGGTCATAGTTTTTTCTTTGTTTCTTATTTTTTAATCAGTTATTACTGAGAGACCTGTATGCCTTGCACTATGATACTTAAATTTCTTCAAGAGCCTTTGATGAAGGACATGCTCAAATGAGTTTTGGAAGACCAACTAACTTCTATCAAATGGATCGCCTTTGTTCATATGTTGTTACTTTTTCAAAGAAATGTTAGAGATTCTGGGTTCCTCTATGAAATCTATGCCAATTCTTCCCCTTTCTATCATACTTACCCATAAATATAATGATTTAGAAGGAGACCGAGGAAGTGTTGCAACTTATACCAGTTTCTCAGATTAGGTTTCATATTACCACCTCAATTTTTTTTCCAACAAGGAAGCTTTTAAACATTACACCATCATTCCTGGCTTGAGAGTTTTGTACGTCAGTTAACTTCATGGATACAGTCTGGCCCTGGTATTTTTTTTACTATTCATGGTTGCCAGTTTCTTCTGAAACCTCTTCTTATAACACTTTTATTGGTGACAAATCTCCTGATGTGTTCTTGACAGAGAAATATGCCAGAATGGGCATGTCCCTAAATACCTTCCCTACTTTATTCATTGATTAGTCCTGTAGTGTTTCTGTCAGGATTTTACTTACTTACTTTACAAGACGTCTTGAAAATGGCTTTACTAGCAGTTTTTGCCAAGTTGTTCTTAAAAATCTTACTTTGTTTATATATTTACTTTGTTCTCAAAAAGCCTTACTTTGTTCATATATTTAATTTGTTTATGTGTATTTTCCTCATTTAGGCACAACTTCAACTTGAAGAAAGCCCTTTTGCTTCTAATAAAAGAAGTCCTTTTAATAAGAGGCATCCTCTTCCTCATTCACCTTGCTGTTTAGCTATGCAAAGCTTTTTTTTGTCTTTTAAAGCCTTTTTCTGGAAGTTGGCTTGCAGTGAGCCCCCATATTTAAACAATTTTCATTACTCCTATAAACATTTTAAATTTTGGCTCTCTTTCTTTTTAAACAGTTTTCATATTTTCACGTAGTTTCCTCTTTGAAGTTGAACACTGCCATGGGAGATTCCCCCCCCCCCTTCTTTTTTTTTTTGCAGAATACTGCATCTAAATGCATTAATTGTTGTTAAGCAGAGGTTCTAGCTGTATTTTGAACCAGGTCTTTCTGTCACTAAGACCAGGTCCTAGAATTATTTAGAATTTCTTTCTTTTTTATCTAGATAAACAAATAGCCTCTATATAAGCAATTATTTAAATCCCCTACAATTTTACTCGGAATCACCCCGCTCCCAGCCCATTTACTCAATCTCAGCTTGGTAAATGATGTTTCCCACTGTTATTGCATTTATGTCTTCATGCCCTGTTTGATCTTGTTAGGCTGTCACAGGCAATGCCACTATTTAGGTAGGACAGTCAGTAGTACAGCCCCAACACTGTACTCCAGTCATGTGCTGCTACAGTTCTATTTTTCCTATTTAATCTTGTGATTTCAATCTGCAGGAACTGTTTGCTTTTGTGATGTAGCCAATCTATAAGATTTTACGCTGTTTACTTCAAGACAAAAAAATCTGCTCTTTGACAGCCATGACTTCACCTGTCTTTCCCATGTAATTTGTCGCTATGTGCCTGTCACATTGATTATTCTTCTACTAAGTTTCTAATATGCCTGTTATATCAACAATCTCATTTATAACTAGTAACTTCAGTTTCAACATTTTTTCCAGACTTCTTCTATTTGTACTGAACACACACATATTTGATCCAACTGTCTATGTTTCTTTGCTCTAGTTAAATTGAACTCTTGGCAATTTCTATTTAATTAAGAAAATAGGATTCTTCATATACTGACAATTTTTTGTGCCACAGCACAGTGTCCGCAATAACATACATTTTCTGCATTCTAACAAGGGCTTCTCAGTTTTTCAGTACTTCAGTGTGGGTAAGTACAGCTCAGAATTAGCTCTCCTGCAGGGTCAACAAGGAACCAGTACTGTTTGTGAGATGATGCAGCAAATGGAGTTTTTAGGTAGCCCTTATTTCTGCTGACCTCAGAGAGTACTGTAAGGGTCAGTTAAAATTACTGACAATCTCAAAATTCGGCTCAAGAAAAGTTAGCATGACTTGTTGCTTAATCTTGCCTATATCTGAATGACATATGTCAACTGTGACTGCAGTATGAGAAAAATAAAGCAGGTTTACTAATAACTTGTATAATAAACCACCTGATCATATCTAACATCCAGAAGGGATTTCCCTTTTCCAAAGGGAAAAGGAATTGCTTAAAACTAAACTCTACCTGCATTCAAATCTACAGTTCTGATTTCATTAATTGCAGGGGGGTTGGACTAGATGACCTGTGAAGGTCCGTTCCAACCTAAACTATTTGGATTCTATGATTTATAATAAGTGCCATAAAGTGCCTTCAGGAGCAGTAAGGGACTCTATGCTCTTAAGAGCTTGTTCTGAAAACTCTCTGCAATAACCTCCTGCATAGA